CTCCAAAATGGGGTGTGAACTCCAAAAGTGGGCAGAACCTCCAAAATGGGGCGGGGTCTCCTCGCGCAAAGACTTTCACCATTGGCTCTGGCTCCAGCCAATTGTTGCTGACTTACATTTCAAAATAAAACTTTATAAATGTAACATTGTTTCTAGTTGATCTAAAGTAAAATATGCTATACAAGTAAATATTCTCGTGAGAGCAGAGCGCAAAGCTTGTGGCCAGTGGTGTTCGGACTGGAGTTTGAACCTCTGCTTAATGATATATAAACGGGAATCACCCACGAGCTCTCCCGCGAGCCGTCCCTGCACAGTGCAGGGGAAAGATTTCACTCTATGGCTTTTATCTAAGCAACTGGGGCGTCCCGGGGCTCGAAATTCGCAGGGTAGGAGGGGGTAGTGATGCTGGGTGTAACTAAAAAGGTGCCGTTGTCCGGTGAGGTCCGGTTGGGGAGTTACGGAACGATCTCATATCGCATAATCATATCGCATAATCTTAATAACTGTTTATCTCCTGAACTGCAACTTTCTTTACCACGCTATTCAGCGCAAATCCCACCGTGCAGTCCATTTCACTGGTTAATGTTAGGGTCAGGTGTGGGGTAGGTTTAGGGGTTAACATTTTTTGTAGCATAATGTAGGAAATCAACACTTTAATTGACACAACCAATAAAATCTTTAGAATCAGCTGTGGGGCAGAGTTTGCACTGAAGTGGATTGGAGGAAAAATTGTGCATGCGTGTCATGTGCCTGTCTGTCAATGGGAGGAAGCCACGCCCTATTTTGGAGCTCCCACCCCGTTTTGGAGTTCCCGCCCCCATTAAGGAGATCTCCGGGCTGCAGTTATACCCTTCTCCATAAAATGGCTCATTTCTGACTACTGGCATGAATTTAGTTGACTTTGTAGTAGGGCTGGGTGATATAGCTAAACAATATATCAACGATATGTGTTTCATATCGTTCGGTAACGATAATTATTGAAATTTTTTATAACCTTTTTTTAAAACAGTCAAACTAATAAATAAAATTTAAACAAATATTTCTTATGTTTTATATGCAGATTAAATAAGTCTTAAGGAAACTTTTGACTTGTTTCCCGAGGCCACAGGAGGGCGCAATGAGCAAAATAATGCAGCGCATTAATTGTCAATTCAAATAACTGTCTATACAAACGTACATAACGTCTAAATTAACATATATAAATCAAATATCATTTTGTAAACTGCATAAACAATTATAAACAAAACAGCATCACGTGTTTATGCATTGCTTAGCCTAATACAAAGAGCCAAATCGCCGATTGCATTTAAAAACATATGTGACGCAGTGAAATTAAATAAACCTTCACAAATTTGCGTCGTAATAACACAGCAACTGCGCGTCTCGTGGGCTAGACTAACAAAACATTAAAATGCAACGTCACTTACATCATCATCACTGCATCTCGCGGACCACTGGTGACGCTCCCTGACGCACTCCTAACATTCGATTGCACCATTTTTGCATTCAAATGCAAATGTTTATTTTCAATTAGACTAATATTCATTTTTCAGCACTCAATTCAGCATGTGTTCGTGTGAGCTGTCTGCATCACTCACGTGCCTATATCGTGCACTATATCAAACATTTTTTATATCGTTATTGATGAAGGTGTGCCGTCAATAAATATCGATACCGTTTTATCGCCCAGGCCTACTTTGTAGTTCATTCTGGCAGGAACTGACCGAAGATCAGCCAATCAGGTTAGAGTTTGCCAGACTCAGAATGTGTTTGTGTGCGATATGCATCAGACAGTCAATGAGTCAATTTAATTCAGTATCGTGATGTATTTTAAAGAGAATAATGGATGAGAAATCAGAGGGTCTTGATTTTAAAGCATTTTATTTGCTGCATCTCATCATCTAAGAAGGAGCACCAATCTAGTGTGGAAGCAAATTTTCAGATTTTGACTGAAGATTATGAAAATAAACTTTTTTTTTTTGTAAATTTAAATTTCACAGATGAATTGTTCTACAGTAGAATAGCTTTATTTGTATATTTTCTGTTTTAATTTGTTTGTTTTAGCAATTTTGTTATGAGCTTTTATAATATTTTTGTTTGTATTATATTTCTATTTTTTTTAATTGGGAGAACTTGCACAATTGGTGGCTGACTAAATACTTTTTTGCCCCACTGTATGTGACGCAGTGAAATTAAATAAACCTTCACAAATTTGCGTCGTGTTTTCTAAACATTAAAACTTTTAACTTTGCATGACTTTCTTTGCATCTCTTGCTTGAGACGCGAGTGCAGCAGTCATATTTGTCCATCTAAAAATGTGCTGAATATGCATTCTGTGTGAATGGCTTGGTTTTGGTTTTAACCTAATCAAGATCTTCTACGCATTGAGCTACTATATTTCTGTAATATTTTGAATGAATAACACAGCAACTGCGCGTCTCGTGGGCTAGACTAACAAAACATTAAAATGCAACGTCACTTACATCATCATCACTGCATCTCGCGCACCACTGGTGACGCTCCCTGACGCACTCCTAACATTCGATTGCACCATTTTTGCATTCAAATGCAAATGTTTATTTTCAATTCAACTAATATTCATTTTTCAGCACTCAATTCAGCATGTGTTCGTGTGAGCTGTCTGCATCACTCACGTGCCTATATCGTGCACTATATCAAACATTTTTTATATCGTTATCGATGAAGGTGTACCGTCAATAAATATCGATACCGTTTTATCGCCCAGGCCTACTTTGTAGTTCATTCTGGCAGGAACTGACCGAAGATCAGCCAATCAGGTTAGAGTTTGCTAGACTCCGAATGTGTTTGTGTGCGATATGCATCAGACAGTCAATGAGTCAATTTAATTCAGTATCGTGATGCATTTTAAAGAGAATAATGGATGAGAAAACAGAGGGTCTTGATTTTAAAGCATTTTATTTGCTGCATCTCATCATCTAAGAAGGAGCACCAATCTAGTGTGGAAGCAAATTTTCAGATTTTGACTGAAGATTATGAAAATAAACTTTTTTTTTTTGTAAATTAAAATTTCACAGATGAATTGTTCTACAGTAGAATAGCTTTTATTTGTATATTTTCTGTTTTAATTTGTTTGTTTTAGCAATTTTGTTATGAGCTTTTATAATATTTTTGTTTGTATTATATTTCTATTTAGTTATAGTTTTAGTAATTTTAGTACTTCAGCTTATTTTAGTACTTCAAGTTTTTGTCGTGTTTATATTTCATATTATTTCAGTTACTGAAAGTAATTTAGTTAAGAATAACAACACTGATGTGTTCTAACAGAGTAAATGAATTTTGATAACCTGTCTCATAAAAAAAGCACAGAAAAGTGGATCAAATGTGATTCCAATAGTAGAAAATACTAATTACTAACAATAATAACTACAAAGTTTTAATCTTCCTAACTAGGAAAGTCTACACCACAGTTATAACAAAAATGACACAAGAATGATATAAATGACCCTTCGCAAAGACCTGCCTCCCTTAGTTACTGTTGCTATGTCCGACAAGCCATGGCGCTCTCACGCCACACATCATGTTCTCACGCGAAACGCGCCAACAGACAAGACAGAGCAGGCTACTTTAGGTGTGAAACAATCTCCGCTTTCACATTTTTTTTAAAGGAATTCAGACAGTAAATACTGTTTTGTGGCTCTTTAATGTGTCGTGACAGATCACTGTAGCGCCTCAGTTCAAGCGGCACGTGAACTGATGATCTCTTCCTCTTCACTAGTTATAGCACGAAATAAACATGAATGAACATCAGAAGGTATCTTGTTTCAACCATGGAAAGATGTCAGTACACACCATTTTTCAAGTTCAAGTCCACCGACGTTAATAGACTCTTCTGTCTGGTTTGTTTGTCGGACAAAATAGCAGATTCGGCGTTATGATTGGTCAGATCGCCTGTCAATCAAACTCCCTGTGAAGGATCGATTGGAATCACTTTCAGAAAGATTTTTTTCCATCTAGAGAACAATAAAAATATCGCCAGCGAATCTGCAGCATGTGCTTATAATAAACAGAATGTTATCGTTTATTCGTGTGAACGCTAATATAGTTATTGTTCGTGTTGAGAACGGCCCTTTAGAGTTTAGTAGAACTGTCCAAACTGTTGTTCATTATAGTGCAGTAAAACTTTACAGCAACTCTTGTGGATCAAATGTGATTCCAATAGTAGAAAATACTAATTACTAACAATAATTACTAAATTACTAATAACTACAAAGTTTTAATCTTCCTAACTAGGAAAGTCTACACCACAGTTATAACAAAAATGACACAAGAATGATATAAATGACCCTTCGCAAAGACCTGCCTCCCTTAGTTACTGTTGCTATGTCCGACAAGCCATGGCGCTCTCACGCCACACATCATGTTCTCACGCGAAACGCGCCAACAGACAAGACAGAGCAGGCTACTTTAGGTGTGAAACAATCTCCGCTTTCACATTTTTTTTTAAAGGAATTCAGACAGTAAATACTGTTTTGTGGCTCTTTAATGTGTCGTGACAGATCACTGTAGCGCCTCAGTTCAAGCGGCACGTGAACTGATGATCTCTTCCTCTTCACTAGTTATAGCACGAAATAAACATGAATGAACATCAGAAGGTATCTTGTTTCAACCATGGAAAGATGTCAGTACACACCATTTTTCAAGTTCAAGTCCACCGACGTTAATAGACTCTTCTGTCTGGTTTGTTTGTCGGACAAAATAGCAGATTCGGCGTTATGATTGGTCAAACTCCCTGTGAAGGATCGATTGGAATCACTTTCAGAAAGATTTTTTTTTCCATCTAGAGAACAATAAAAATATCGCCAGCGAATCTGCAGCATGTGCTTATAATAAACAATGTTATCGTTTATTCGTGTGAACGCTAATATAGTTATTGTTCGTGTTGAGAACGGCCCTTTAGAGTTTAGTAGAACTGTCCAAACTGTTGTTCATTATAGTGCAGTAAAACTTTACAGCAACTCTTTTTTTTTTTTTTAAAGAATGAATGTTTAGAAGGTTTATTTTTAGTTTTTAGGTTTCTTCTTGTTCATGGAAACTCTGTTTTCTGTCTAGGAGGAGGGTGTGTATGAGTTTGAGGGAGAAATAGAGGGAGATGTGGAGTACCCTGCGGTAATCGTGGAGCCGGTGCCCGGTGCGCGGTTGGAGCAGGGCTTCGCTGCTCAGGTGCTGGTGTACGATGACGAAACCTACCTGATGCAGGGAGTGGCTGAGGAGCAGGAGGTGGAGACAGAAGTGCTGGAGACAGGTAAGAACACTGTTACTACATAACCACTGTTCTGTCTGGCTCATTTTCACTCAACCTATGAGAACACTTGGCGAGGAGATTCGAAGGTACACACCCTTTCATGCTTCAGCATCACTTCATGAACATATACACAATCTTTAATGTATGCTCACTAAATGTAAATGCTCATAGTCACACTACCTCATAGGGCTGCACAATCGGAATAAAACCAGAATTGCAATATGGCCTAATCAGTTATAAAATTGTAAAAGCTGCAATTTAATTAAAGGGGTCCTATTATGCTTTTTTTTTTACTTTTTTTAATTTTAGTCAGTGTGTAGTGTGTATATTTGGGCATAAAAAGATCTAGAAAGTTACCAATCTCAAAGTCCACTCCAAAGGGAGATATTTCGTTTTTTAAAAATCCCTTTTCAAGAACTACAACGAGTGGCTTGTTTGGACTACAGCGGATGATGTCAGGAAACAGTGGTTGCAATTTATTTTTTAACTCTGTTCCTGAGCATTATAACCCCAATTTGCTATTGTGTGCTGAGCATTTTACTGAGGACAGATTCCACAACATGAGGGAGTACAGTGCCGGATTCGCCCAAAAGTTTTTGTTGAAAGATGGAGCAAGGGGCGTGGCAGTACTTAAACACCGTCTAAGCTGTTCGCCAATCACAACGCACTGGGACAGCTAACCAATCACAACACATTTTGTTTTTGGAAGGCAGACCTTCATCAAAGCCGGAACTAATCGAGCCGTTTGTGCCAGGCTGGGGAGAAAAGTATTTTAATAATGTAAATTATGTGAAAAATTATGCGTTTTTCGAACCACCAAGCATGAGAGCATGTTCTAGTACTCCCCCAAAACAAAATCAAGACTTTGTAAAAGAGCATAATAGGACCCCTTTAAATATATGCGCTGCATGTTTCAGAGTGAAGCACACAGTTGTGTTCATTTACAAACAATCAGCTCATGATTCAGTGTTTTCAGTGTCCTGAAGCAGCTTGGCTCCCAGAAAAGTAAAGAAACTGGGAAAGTAAAGAAATTAGGACAGACATAAGTAGTAGTAATGTAATTTTACTGTTGTTCTGTTGTGAAATAAAATGATTATTAAAAACTTTTTTTTTGCAGTATTGCAATAGTAATATATTTCTTTGATTTATCTTTTGAGTGATACTAGAATAAAAAATATTTGTAATGTATTGTTATTATTTTGAGTAGTAGTAATAGTACTAGTAGTATTGTGCAGTCATATTAAATGGGGGGCAACTGTTTATTTTTCTTCTTTTTTTGTCTTTAACTGATCACATGCTTGTCGTGTCAGCTTCTAGTGATGGAGCACATCAATATTGAATTCCCCATTAAAATGGCAGGAAAACCCTTTGCACACACTTTACCACAGCTACCACTCTTACTTAATGTGCTTTTGTTCACTTGAACAAAATGCTCTTTATTCCTGATTGCACATTAAAATATTTTGAATCTTGTGATTTCCAGTAGTTGATTTTGGCAGAGAGACTTTATTGAAGCCACTGTTTGAGAAACATATGACTTGTATCCAGCATAATGCATTTGTAAACCTTAATGGCCCAACCAAAATACTTTATGGGTGGACATTGATGGCTATTAAATGCTGCAGAGAGAGTTGACTATAATAGTTGAACATTGCTTTCTTATGTCTCAGTTATGTTAGTGGTTATATACCCTGGTTATTTTGATGCTTGCAGACTATTTGTTATTATATGTTGTATATAGAACACCGTTCCTATGGGCTGGGATTTATGGGATATTTAGTGATGCATCATTTCAGAGAGTAACCACAGAAGCATGATTCTGCAACCATGTTGCCCAAAGATAGCTTTCTTGTTTTGGTTACAGTAACTAACAATCAATCACAGGGCTACACTTCTATTTTTTTACAACCAATTTCTGATCAAAATTGCCCTGTTATAGAATTATATTTGACTGATGTATCAGAGATTGTCACTTTAAAGAGGCAGTTCACCCAAAATTCAAGACAAATAAAAAAGTCATCATCATTTGGTCACCTCTATGTTGTTGCATTCATTCATGGATCATAAAAATTATGCAAGCAGAATGTTAAGAACTCAGTTACAGTTTGCTTTCATTGTATTGAAAAAAGCAGTGAAAGTAAATGGTGACTGGGTTTTCCTAACATCTCATTTTGTGCTCTATTGTAGAAAGCAAGTAATACCGGTTTGTAGCACCTTGAGGGTGATTTTGTATAGATTTGGTGCCACGGCCTTGTCGTGTGATGGGTCTCTACCGCCCTCTTTTGGACATTCTTTTGAAGTGTTGCACAGAATATGGTCAATACAACTTATAGTGTCAATACTTAGAAGTCACTTGTAATGTCAATATTTAGAAGGTACTTATACTAAGTACTTAAAAGTGTCACGTGACAGCATAATACCCCGCCCCTTTATTATTCGTCCAGATACATTGAGATAACCATTTAAAAATGCTTAAAGGGGTCATATGATGCTGCTAAAAAGAACATTATTTTATGTATTTGGTGTAATGAAATGTTTATGCGGTTTAAGGTTCAAAAAAACACATTATTTTCCACATACTGTACATTATTGTTTCTCCTTTCTGAAACGCGTCGATTTTTACAAAGCTCATCAGTCTGAAAAGCGAGGTGTGCTCTGATTGGCCAGCTATCCAGTGCGTTGTGATTGGCCGAATTCCTCAAGCGTGTGACGGAAATGTTAAGTCCCTTACCATATTGTGATGCCTGCGGCAACCACATGTGACGACCCCGGGCTGGACACCGCTTCGTCCACGGGGAAAGCCGATCCGGCGATTAGTTGATGTATTTCCTCAGCGACCAGCACGGATCAGCTCCAGGCATTACGAAGCGATATCGTCCTCGTTTGGAAGACCAAACAAAGTAGTTTCGCTTTCACAACGAAACACACAGAGCCTTCATGACATGGCGGCAGCGGCGGCAACAAAATACTACAGTGAGAATAAAAGTTACGCCGCCTTTCTTTGCGTGAATATTTGGGCGGCGTTATGCAAATCTTCCCACATAGTGAGGTAGACATGTGGGGACGTGTTAGAACGAGCCGTTTTAGGTAGGTGTGGTTAACTCTTAACTTTAAAAAGAATATCTCTTTGGATGAGACTTTAGTCTTTGCAACTTTACAGACCTTCTTTATGCACCAAGGGCTTGTAACACTCCAAAGAGAAAGGAAAAATTGAAACCGCATCATATGACCCCTTTAAAAGACAATATGAAGATGTTTAAGAACATTTACAAGAGCAAAATACAAAATATCACTGTCTATTCAGAACAGTTATTTTCAATTATTTATATACTTTAGATACTTTTATATCACAGTTGAAAGTGCTTTAAAAACATTAAGAAGATGTTTAAGAACATTTACAAGAGCAAAATACAAAATATCACTGTCTATTCAGAACAGTTATTTTCAATTATTTATATACTTTAGATACTTTTATATCACAGTTGAAAGTGCTTTAAAAACATTAAGAAGATGTTTAAGAATATTTCATTAAAAATGTCGCTCTAGATAAAATACAAAATGCGACGCAAAGGAACTTGTCTGTTCAGAAAAGTTATTTTCACTGATTTGACTTTGTGGAGAATCTTATATATCTTGTCTTTTTAAAATACCTATGTGCGTTGTTTTAGTTACTATACACTCTGAAAATATATATATTTAAAGATTTAAAAAGTTTTTTTGGAAAATGCCGTTTACGTAAATCGAACGTAAAGCAGAGCGCGCGTAGGATTTCCTGTGTTTGGCGCGGAAGGATCTGTGCGCGCTGTTGAGTTTGTGGAGATTTCCTGTGGAGGCGGAGTGATATGCGAGTCATGCGTCTGTAAACGCTTTCAATGCGAGTCAATGTGATTCTGCACCTCTGGATGAAACATGGCGACGTCGCTGCATGAGGGACCCGCTAACCAGCTCGATCTACTTATCCGAGCAGGTAAAAAGACCAAAGCGCGTGTTCAGCCTCGGCAGCGTGGGGTTGCTTGGGGCGCAGCAGAGCAGTGCGCGCCGCAGCGCTGAGATCCGCCAAGTTGTGCTGTAAAGTAATGGAGGGCATTTCAGGAAGTGATCACCTTGGATGGCAACCTGCATGGCGTTGCTTCATTTTCTTATCCGTTTTCTCGGAGTGCTGAAAAGTAGCGTGAAGGTGTGTTTGTTGTGTTGCGCGTGAGCAGCGTGCACAGTGTTGCGTTTGCATGGCGCTGAGGGCGTTTTAAATGTGGAGTGCGTTAGAATAACGGGTTTCTCTGGAGGTGGTGCGCTGCTCTGAAACCAGGAAGTGGGAGAGATGTTGTCTTTCCTACGTCTTTGCCACGCTGTCTGGAGTCGGAAGGGCACTGAGATTTAGTTTTAGCTCTTAAATAGAGCTTACTAAAATGTGAATTTGAGTGGATTGTTTTTTTTTAATAAAATAGCGTCTGAGAGCTTTACGTTTGACGATTGGTTTATTTTGATGCCTCGTCGTCAAAGGAAATGTGGCATATGGAGGAAAAAATACACGCGGAGCCACTACAGTACAACTTCAGTATTCATTTATTTATGGCGTTAAGATGCGCGTCAAAAATATTGCGTTTGAGTAATAAAATACATGTTTGCTTCATGTCGCAGATGTCCCGTTATCTAAACGTGGTCGCTCTGCTTTCTGCAGTTTAGCGCTAAATGTTAAGCTCCGCGAGCAACATTTAACGCTTAATTATGTCTTTAAACTCCACTTTGTCTTTAATGACCTTAAATGTGTCGCTGTAAAAGTGTCGAGTGCACATTTGACTTTTTTCCTTTAAATGTTTATATTTTAGAGGTAATTTGATGGCGGAAGCATTGTTATTCCACTGGGCTGTCTACATTTTGAGTGACCGCACTTGTCGTCCAATAGTATTGGCGTCGCGTTCGAAATCCAACAGCTGGCCAATCATCTTGCTTGTTTCTTGGGGCGTTGATCAGAGAAGCGGCCAATCAGATTCGGGGCGGGGATTGAGTGGCAGGAAGCTCGGAGAGCGTCTTCAGAAAGAACTGGAGGGAACGCTCTGACGACTGTAAACACGGAAGTGAGGAGGGACAGCGCTACTTTCTTGTGGACCGCTATGTTAGTGGCAGAAAAATAGTACCACAATATTCAGTCTCGTGTGGCATTTGTTTACGATTTGCTGAATTGTTGCTAATAGTAATTTATTTATTATTGTATGAACAACAATGACGTGATTAGCTATTTAGCAGCTTTTCTAGTATTTTATTAACATTTTAAGTGAGTCTTAATTTCTTATTCTTATAATAAGAATAATTATAGGCATAAAGTACGAGTTGTATAAACAATAAATCTAAAATATAAATGTTAAAAAAACTCGAAGGTAAAAGTAACCTTCGAGTTTTTTTAACATTTATATTTTAGATTTATTGTTTATTTGTTTATTTTTTTTGAATAATAAACAAAAAAATGGCTAACAATGATCACCCTCTTGTTCTTCCAAAAATCATGGCATAAAGCAGCATGAGGGTGCGTAAATATTATATTGTTGATTTTTTGCGTGCGCTATCCTTTTAAAAATATATCTACAAAGACCAAAACATACTTACAAACAATAGGTGCAACTTTAATTATTGGTTTTCTAATTTATAGTAATTCTCTGAAAGAAGTCTACTTATATTAACTTTGCAGTGTAGTCATGTAAACCATTAGAATTTTGTTAATAACTACACTTTGACTTGTGTCCTGTCTCCAAGGGCAGATCTTTCAGAATACAGGAAGTAAATGCATGCTGGGTCACCCATTCTAGAGGACACTGTGTGTATGTTTATGACTGGGACTGCCTAAAGATAGCCCCCGTGTGCAGCAACAGACACGCATAGCCAAACATGGGCAGGCTCAGGTTGTAATGGGAGTTCAGCGGCGGCTTGGATAGACTGGCACAGGTGCTAGTGGCTCTGGATGTTAACGTCAGGGAGCAGTGCTGAAGGTGCCGTCCTATATATGCATGATCTGCTTGTCTGAGATCAGCCAGTCTGCACCTGTTTCTAAATAAGAGCATCCAAGGAAGTGACTTGTTAGCAGATGCTTTTATCCAAACTGTCTTAGAGCACACTAATTGGGCTTTGAGAAGACTGGTTGCAGGTATGACACCCCTGGATCTATTTAGGTCCAAAGGCAGAATCTGAAGTAGTCTACAGTTCGTAGGTTGCACTTTTGTATTAATAGGTCCTTATGGGATTTACATTAGATGTCTTCTCACACTCATTTGTGTTAGTTATATTTAGTGATTCGCCGAGTGCTCAACTTGCGTTGTCCGTCACTCATCTCAAGTCTTTGAAAAGAAATGACTTCCTTTCGCGTTGTCACTGCATATTGCTGTCAGTTTGAACTCCTCTTTAACTGTCAGGTAGTGTTTTTAAAGCTCTTAAGTACCATATTTAAGTGTCACTCGCACACTTGATTTAGTCTGCATACTAAGTGGATGTCATCAAAGAAACTTATTCAACAATAAAGACGTTTCAAGAGGCAACACAAATATTAGTTTCAAATATATTTGATAAATAAAAAATCTGTTTGTAATGTATTTTCTGTGAACTTCGTGTTTTTGATTTATAGCAATTGCTAGACCAGTTTTCTCTTGTCACTCATACCCAAACATGTCACTTATTTGGTGGGAATTGTTTTGGATATTGAGTAACCTGAATGCACGTTTTCCATCCAATAGCACCGTCTATTTGGCAGCTCAGTGTACAAATATTCTATTTGTTAATTACTCTACTGTTCAAAATGTTAGCTTCATTAAGATTAAAAAGAAAAATGTTTCTGAATTTCTGAAAATTCAGCTTTTCCTTGACCAAAATAGATGACATTTTAAAATGGACAGTTATTTTACATTGTTGTACAATTTCACAATATTACAGTTTTTCTGTATTTTTGACTAAATGCAACCTTGGTGAGCAAAAAAAGACTTCTTTCAAAAACACATTTTAAAGTGCCCCTATTATGGGTAATGAAAGGTTCATATTTTGGTTTTGGGAGTCCCCAACAACAGGTTGACATGCATGCAAGGTAAAAAAACACTCATCTCATTGTCTTATAATATGCATTTATTTTTACCTTACTTGCTCAACGACTCCCAAATGATTCGCTCAACGATTAATTTTTCCAAACCCCTCGTTTGCGTGACGCTGGTCTGCGGTGATTGGTCTCAGTTTAATTTCATCATGCCTGTAATCAATGCCTGATAAAGCAGCGTTTGTGAGCGCAGTGCTGCTTTGTGAACAGCATTAACGGGGAAACCGCTGTTTTTACCGCTTCAAAAGCTGCACCTAGTGGCAAAGAATGAATTTGCATTTTCATTCAGACCAATGTGAAAAGACCAACAAGTGGGCGGGCAATATGCTAATTTTTCATGTTGACGTCAACATGAAACGGCTTGGGATTCGTTTTAAAAACGACTCGTTTCAGTGATTCAGAGCCGACTCTTTCTTTTGAGAGACAATAACTTTGCAGGATGTTTTAATTTACTTAGAGCTGTGTTGCACACTGCATGAAAGGTAAATTTCAAAAATCCATAATAGGGGCACTTATTACGACCCCAAACTTTTGAATGGTAGTGTATATATCCACATATCGGACACATTAAATGATTAAATATGAGAATTAATATGAGATAAAGCTGTTTATCACAAATAGAGAGGTTACCACAAAAAAAACAACAATCACAAAAGCATTTTTTTGTGTGTTCCGTCTGTTGCAGTGGAAGCATCAGTTTATGGCTCTGTGCATTGCTCAGATAAAACCATTGAGGCTGCTGAAGCTCTTCTACATATGGACTCTCCCTCCAGCTTGCGGGGAGACCGGAGCCCAGGTGAGCTCTGCTTTCTCTTCCTCTATCAATCGCTCCATCGCTTTCTCTTCCTCCATCAACTTTAGCTTTCACATCACAAAATAAGACTGTAGATAGCCACACAGTGAGGAGTACATCATTTCTAAAATATATTTATTTTTTTCTGTCGTAGAGGTGTTTGTGCCTCCATGTGTCAACACTTCGGAGTTCCTGCATGCTGCCATGCGACCTGACATTCTGACGGAGACAGTGGTGGAGGTCAGCACAGAGGACTCGGAGCCTATGGAGGTGGTTACGGTTTTTGAGGAGCCTGAGATGCTGGAGACGGAACCCACTAAGAGAAGAAAATGTGAGAACACAAGAACATTATTGTGAAAAGCGCTGTTTGGATAAGCTCATTCTTGAAGCAAAGTTTTCCCTGAATGATGATTATATTCACTGTTTTGGATCGCTGCATTTAAACTGAGAATGCATGTACAGATTGACGCCTTTGGTGTGTGATAGAGTCAACAGTAATAGCACATGCAGCCTCCCCCGGTCCTAATGCCCGCTCAGTAAGGAGTTTTAATTCCGTAGGGGGGCGCTGTTGGCCTACTTCTAATAAAATGAAAGCAAAATACACAAATAACATTTAGACTGTGTTTCTGATTAAATAAAGCAGTAATTGATGTCATAAAATAATAAGTATGTTTTGATTTAAAGGTCAGGAGCTATAGTTACATGAACAAAAAAAATCACAAACATGACACTTAAATTAAATAATTATATATATATATAGTGTGCTGTAATCCTGAAGTAGACTTAAACGCCTAATCAAATGAGTTCGTGGGATGATTTCAAAAGCCGGACATTTTCAGAGACAGAGAAGACCAATTCTGATGATTACTGTGCACAGAATTGTCCAAACTCAACGTAACGTAACGTAACACAACCCGATCTGAGAAAGCGTGGCTGGTACTCATACGTGATTCAGTGTTTGTGAGAGCTGATGAATCAGAGCAGAATATGCTAGCTGTTCTGTGTCATCATTCCACTGTAGCCTAATGCCAAAATATTCATATTCAAAGTAGTCGCACTGTCAACCTTACATGAAAAAAAAAAAACACAAACATGTCACTGAAATATATTTATATATAATGATTTATTCATTGTGGAAATAGGTTATATTTTTTTAAACAAATTATGAGCTCTAAAATATTGACCACATTTTTTAAACTCTTGCTTTAGAACATTAACAAATGTTAAATCTTCACACAAAATGTTAAGGTTACCACTGCATCTTTCTGAAAAAAAATAAATAAATGCAGCGATTGAATATAATTCATAGTTATTTTCAAATCTTCAATGTACTGTCATTATAAAAGAACTTCATTGTTGTTTATTTAATTCTAACAAATAAGTTCTTGTTAAAAACTAACCAAAATGTAAAAAAAAAATGTGCTAATATTTTCTGCACAGGAGAGACTTGATGTTTCCAAACAAAAGGAAATATATCGGTATCAGCTAGGGATGCTCCGATCCGCCTTTTTCGCTTCCGATTCCGATACCTAGGGTTCAGTATTGGCTGATACCGATCCGATACCAGTGAAGTTTTTCCCCTCATTTAAATAAATGTAGAATTTATATATCTCTGTGTGTGGAACTGATAATCATTCTTTCACAATCTACTAGATACAGACTACTTCATTATAAAGAAAGATAAAATAAACAAATATGAAAAAATATAGGCCTATGTATATTTATAATCTATGACAAAAAATTTATCATAAACTAGGTTAGTGGCAGCAAAAGTTATTCTAGAAAAATCAGTGCACAATAATTTTAGAAATCCAAAGCATCCAACTCACACACTGGCGAGTAAAATCTGAGAATTGATTAGCCATTGACTAATATTAGACATCATTTAGTCTCCCAGAGTGAAGATTTAGTCGCATATGCGAGTGATTTACTCACAATGTAGAGGGTTGACAGTCTATGAGCACGAAGCGCTTGCAATGTGCACACATTAAGCGCTTCATGTTAAAAACTGCAAAGCACAAAGTGAAGAGAAATTGATGCGTAGTGTATTATATCTGTGCAACAGTTATTGAGCCTTTCTTTTAACAGTTTTAAATGTCAGTTACTGTGCACGTTAAAAACTATTTATAGTCTTTTCTATGCCTGTGTTTTGTTCTCACAGACACCCGGTAGCAAGTAACAAAACATTAAACTCCAGCAAGAAGATAGTCCTTTTTGCAAAATCATAGACATGTATTTACAAATCAAGTATAATGGGAACACAGAATGATCTTGGCGAGAGCTTTACCGACCTGACTGCTGTAACCGAATGTGACCAGGGTTTAAAGACTGAACGAATGACTGACAGCCACAGCGGAGAAAAGAGTTTGTGTGAACTTTAATGTAAGGACTTAAATATTCATATGTAGCTCACATTAAGCTATCGTATGGCTTCAGAAGTAACACAGAATAATTCACAATCTAAAATTATCGGATTTGAATCGGTTTTCTCTGCCCGATGCCCGATACCCGATCCGAGAAAAATGGCACTATCGGAGCCGATACCCGATATGAATATCGGATTGGCGCATCCCTAGTATCAGCATTGACTATCGGCCAAAATGAGTTTAAAAATATCGGGATATCGGCAAAAGTCTAATATTGTGCATTCTTAGTATATAATGATGGTGACATTCTTGATGGGATTTGTAAGATCCACCCCAATATTATATATTTATTTGTGAACGGAACTTCGTTCAGTTAGTTCAGTTATCAGTTGTGTTTTGCTATGTCAGTGGGCTGTTAATTAGGAAATACTACTTAAATTATGCTTAACTCATGTGATATTTGTGTTTTCTTAAAGGAAGTACATACCTGTGGGAGTTTCTGCTGGACCTGCTGCAGGATAAGAACACTTGTCCCAGATACATTAAGTGGACACAGAGGGAGAAGGGCATCTTCAAGCTGGTGGACTCTAAAGCTGTGTCAAAGCTCTGGGGTAAACACAAGAACAAACCAGACATGAACTATGAAACCATGGGCAGAGCGCTCAGGTGAGGAGCTTGTGTGTGCAAACACCATAAGATATTTAAGATGACTTTTTCCAACACATTTTGCATGCCTTGAATGGCATATTGACCAGTTGCAATTGGCATCCATAACTAGATCTCTCTGTTCTAATGTTGTCTTTGTTTGACTCTCAGGTATTACTATCAGAGAGGTATCTTGGCTAAAGTAGAGGGTCAGAGGTTGGTGTATCAGTTTAAGGAAATGCCTAAAGACATTGTCGTCATCGATGACGATAAGTGCGACCCAGGTGATGATATAATCAGAGAGAAGACCTACGAGCGCATTCCTCCCTCATCTGACACTCTATTGGTAACTGACCTCTCCAAAACCCCTGCCATCTTGAGAGGGGGAGGAAGGACTGTGGTCCATCCGGGCTCCCCAAAAGCTAAAGCTGCGCTCAATGCAACTCCTTTTCAGCGCATTGTAACGGTCTCTGCGTCAACAGATCCATCACAGCCGTCCCATGCCACCTTTATCACCAATGCCAATGCACCCAGGTAACCAGACTTAAATTTGTGTAAAAAAAAAAAAAAGTGTGGATTTTTCGGCATTATTTTAAAACATAATCTTGTGTCTAGGACTGTGCGAGTTGCTATGCAAGTTCCGGTCGTCATGACAAACTCCTTGGGACAGAAGATCTCCACGGTGGCCGTGCAGTCAGCAAACCCTTCGCTCCTAACCACAGCACCTACCAACACCGGCTCAGCAACTGGTGCGAATGCACCCAAAGTCCTAATCCAGACCATGCCAACGATGGTTCCCGCCACAGCCGAGAACGGTGACAAGATCACAGTCCAGCTCGCCAAGATAATCACCATCCCCGCAACCCAGCTCACGCAGTGCCAGTTACAGACCAAACTGGGCACCCCAACAGGCATCAATCTGATGGGCGCCCCCCTCACCGTCCGAGCCCTTACGCCCATGTCTGTGGCGCCAGGGACGCAGGTGGTCAGATTGGCAGTTCCGGCCCAACAGAGTCCAGCTCAGGCAAAGACGCAGGTCCCTGTTTCAATCCAGATGCAAACTCAAGTCCCAATCTCCATCCATACGACATCTACCCCGGCGTCAGTTCCAGTTCAGATCCAGATTCACCAGAGTCAGCTTTCTCCAAAAGCAAAAAGCGTAGCTCAGACCTCAGAGTCGAAATCCGACAGCACTTCGGCAGAACAGCCTGAGCAGGACAATCCCACACAGGACGCAGCAGTGGTGGTAGAGGAAGGTTCAAAACCACAATCCGAAGCAGAGAGCTAAAGAACGTTTTGTCAGTCATGAACAATAATAAATTAATTTCTATTACCCAGATACTCTTCAATCACATTCTGGAGTACAAACTGGAGATTGGTTGCCTTGTACAGTTTCACAGTTCAAGTGTGGTTTCATTTTTTTATATATATATATATATATATATATATATATATATATATATATATATATATATATA